TGCGCGCTTGGAGCTGCAATTAGGGCAATGCCCGTTGCAGCTGCGGCGTCTGTGCAAAGGGTACCCGCGGCCGTCAAATTCAGTATCTTCTCGGAGCGGCCATGGGCAGCCCTTGTTGCAAGGATCAGCAGGGTCTGCGGGGTGGCACCCGAGGTTGCATTTGTGAACCATGTGGCTGAGCACGAGGTCGCGAAGCACGCCGGGCTGCTCAGGAAGCTCGCAAGAGATGTATTCGTCAACTTCTGCCGCGGTGGTCGGTGGGTCCTTGCAGCCGATGACGATGTGGGCATGAGGTAGTCCGCGCTTCTGGTATTCGATGACACGCATGATGTATTTGGACGTGCCGCAGAATTCTTTCTGGAGGACAGACATCATGATCAAGAGCTTGGCGTGGAAGACCCTCGTGTCAACGTCGGGTCGGTCAGCGTGCGTTTGGCCTTCTCGGAGTTCCTGTTGTATCTCAGGCCGTTGGGTGGACGTGGTGAGCGCGATGAACCAAGTGGGCGGTCCCAGTCGGCGGGCTGTTTCCAGAGCGTCGACCCGTAAACGTCGAAGGTGGCGAGGAGATCCCAGAACGGCGGAGGGCAAGTAGTACCTTTGAGCCGCTCGGTCAGCGGAGTGCGGCTGCCCAGGATCATTGCGCAGTACTTCGCAAAGGTGTTGACGTTGTGCGAGAGACGTGCGTTGCAGTGCCTTGACGTGTTGCAAGCGCTCGCCCCCCATGCGGCAGTACATGTTGATGGCCCATTCGTTGAAGAGGCGCCCGCTCATGTGCATGGGAGAAACGTAAAGCTTGCTGCCGGCACCACCACAATTTAGTGATTTTGCCGTGGGCGGGGGTGTTCAAGTCTGGCGCCCAGCCCCGACCGCCGCGCGGGAACCAAAGAGGGTACGATAGTGGCTCGTACATGTCGCTCGAAGGCGGGAGGTAATGGTAGTGACCAGCTTTGGTTGTCCGGAAGTAACCGATCGCGGGCATGCCGTTGCTCCCGAGCTGGCGTCCCAAATGGCAGCCACTTCCTGGATACCTTCATCCCAATCGAGCCGTAAAGGGACATCCTGAATACCGCGACGTGGAATGGCCAGTTTGGTGATCGCTTTCATGTACGGGTTATTGGGAAGGATCATACGTTCCAACTCTTTGACAATGCGGGGTTCGAGCTGGAACCGCGCTGCCGTTTGGGAGCGGAGCTGAGGGTCGACGACGATGTACCGCACGGCGCTCTCAGCGTCGAGTGTCCACGTTTTCCAGTACATGGTACCATGGATTTGCATGAAGAAAGGCTTGCGCGGGGAGAAATACGTTGCCCGTTCTGACGAGCTAGACTGTATGTCGTGGACAGTCAGTGCGAAGAGATTGTTGTAAGCACGCGAGGAGCCACTGAACGCGGGTGTCCGAAATATCTCCTGCATGGCGTGGTCTGGCCGGCGAAAGTACGTGTCGAAGTTGATGGCGTGCTTCCCCATTTGACAGCAAAACCCAACGCTTTCTGCAGTGTACGTAGCCGTTCCACAATAGTCACAAACTCGGGAGCGAGGCCCCAAAAGTATAGCTTGGACGTCGGGCGGTGCACGGCATGTGGCGCATTTGCGGGTGTTGCGGTGGACAGCGTCGGGCATGTAGTCAGATTTCGGCTTCGCCTCTCCGCGCCCGAAACAGACGAAGGTCTTCGTGGCGGGAATCGGGCGACATGTGATACACAGTCGGGTTGTGCGGCGTACTTCGCGTTTCACATAATGAGATCGTGGCCTGTGCTCCCCGCAACCCGAGCATAAGAACGTCTGCGCTTCAGGCGGGGCGCGGCCTGTGGTACATGCTCGGCTTGTGCGGTGTGCGGCGTCTGTGAGGTAATCAGATTGTGGCTTGTGTTCTCCACGCCTGGAGCACAGTAGGAATGGTATTGGTGGGTTGGCAGATGCGGTAGCCTGAAGAACGCACTGAGTGCAAGCTCGTACGCTAGGCGGTTTGTCCAGCTGGGTGTTGGAGAAAGCGTGTCGAGGTAGACACTCAGCGCAGGAAGCGCAAACGAAAGAATCCGCTTTCCCGGGAGGAATCGTTCAGTCTAAGAAAATAGGGATGCAGCCGAAGTGGCTGCGGAAGGAATCATCAAAACAGTGGTGGGAGAGCGAGGAAGACTGGTTGTCCTAGGAGGAGGACTTCGCAAGTGTTCGTGCGGCCGTGAGTCCCCGGAGAATGTTTCCCCAGGCTGTGTGATGAAACCGAAGGTTCCCGACGGCCTGATCTTTGAAATGTCACAAAAACTCGGTTCCCAACAGCGCGTCCGGATGAGATGCTGGCGTGGCCCCGACGGTTTGTATTGAGTGTTGCGAGAAGCTGAGTCGAGGCGGGAGGAGGAGCATGAAGAGGATGAGGAGAAGGAGGAGGAGGAAGAGGAGGAGGATGAAGAGGAGGAAGAGGTAGAGGAGGAACATAATGAGGAATGGGAGGAGGAGCTCTTGGGTTCTTCGGTGGTTTGAAGGAAAAATGGCTTCGCTGCGCCATGTGATACGACATCGACGACGACGAAGAAGGCGACGAGAAAGAGAAGGGATAATGAGAGGGGGAGACCGCTGTGTGGGGATCTCGTGGTGCGCCTCTCGGGGCCCTCTGGGAGGCAGTGTTGAAGCCTCTTGGGGGTGTTTTGGAGTTCTTGGGATCTTTTTGGGGCCTCTGGGGACCCTCTTGGGGGCTCCTTGGGGCCTCGTGGGAGCCTCTTGGGGCCTCATGGGGCTCTCTCCGGGCGTCTTGGGGCCCTCTCGCGGCGGAAAATTTAGGTTTTGAGCTTCTGGGCGCCCTCTTGGGTCTCTCTTGGGGCCGTTTTGGTGCTCTTTTGATCCGTCTTGGGCGCCTCTTGGGCGGTCTCGGAGCCCTCCTGGACTGTGTTGGGGCCTTCGTGGGGGCCTCTTGGGCAGTAGTGGGGCGATCGAGGGAGCCTTTGGGGCCATTGTGGAGCGTCGGGATGCGGGAAAAGCGAGAAGGCCAAAAACTTCGAAAACCCATAGGAAAATCAACAATTATAGCCTCTCGGGGCTCTTTTGGGAGGCCTCGTGGGGGTCTCTGGGGGCGTCTTGGACGCGTCTTGGGCAGTCTTGGGCCCAGATTGGGCGTCTTGGGCCGATCTTTGGGTGTCTCGGGGTCTTGTTTGGCCGTCGTGGGTTTTTTTTGTCCGCGTCGCACTCGCAGGACAGACACGGAGCACTCTGCAGAAGCGCCCCAAAGGCTCGGGGAGGCCGACATTCGTTTGGGGGGGAGGGGGGGGCACCGTGTGCCGTTTTTCCGGGGTCCCCTGCCCTGTAAAAATAAATAATTAGGAATATCTCTATATCTATCTATCTATCTATCTATCTATCTATCTATCTATCTATCTATCTATCTATCTATCTATCTATCTATCTATCTATATATATATATATATATATAAGCGGCGTCCGAGGGCCTAGGGCACGGGGTCGCACACTTCTTCCAACCTCCCCCCCCCCACCCCCGTAACCGAATTCGGCTCCTGGGGTGGTGCCAGGGCCGTTTTGGGCATCCAGGACAGATATTTCAGCCTGAAGGTGGGTGAAGCTAGCCGCAGGCGTGCTTGAAGCGACGCCATGAGACCCCCAAGACCCCCATGATTTACCGAAGACGGCATCAGAGGCCCCCGAGACGCCTCAAGAGAGCCCCAAGAGCACCCCAAGAGGGCACCACAGAGCCAAACATTGCCCCAATCCCAGAGGAAAATATATAATGTTAACCATTTGCGTTTCATTCATTTTCGCGGTGTCCAAGACGGCCCAAGAGGCACCCCGATCGCTACAAGAGGGCGCTCAAAAGGGCCCCAAGACAGCCCAAGAGGTCTTCAGGACTGCCGAAGAGGCGCCCAAGACGGCCCAAGAGGGCCGCAAGACCCCCCCAAGAGGACCCGCGAGGGACCAAAGACGCCCATGGGAGCGCCCAAGACAGCCGAAGAGCACCCCAAGGCAGCCCACCAGGCGCCTCAAGAGAGCCCCAGACGCCCTCAAGACACCCTCGAAAGGAACTCCGAAACGACCACACCTCCAGATGACCCCCAAGCGGCCGCCAAGAAGCCTCCAAAGCGCTACCCAGATGCTTCCGGAGGCCCCTTAGAGGCCCCCAGAGACCCCCGACATGCTTCCCAAAAGGCTGCCGAGAGGCCTCCCAAGAGACCCCAACAAGCTTCTAAGTGGCCACGTCTCCACACCCGACACGATGTTCCCAGAGAGGTTTTCTGGTGATATTCATCCGGATATCGGGGACACACTCGAGACACCAATATGCGTCACAGAGATCCCCCAAAGAAGAGGAGAAGGAGGAGGAGGAGGATGACGAGAATGAGGAGAAGGAGGAGCAGGGAGAGGAGGAGGAGGAGGAGGAGGAACAGGAGAAGGAGGAGGAAGAGGAGGAGGAGGAGGAGGAGTGGCATGAGGAGGGTGAGGGGGCATTCCTAAGGGGACGGGGATGCTGAGCATTATCCGTAAGAAGAGAGGAGAAGGAAGGGCGCGAAAGACGAATGATGGCGAACCGTCGTCTACAAACGCATATCGTCGTCTACATTTACGCCCCCGCTGGAGTCGTAGGATGGTGCGTTTCCAGAGGAAGCGGAGGAGGAAGAAAGAGTAGCCGAGGTGAACACGAGATATTTCGAGAGGTTTCCAAATCCACCCAACGATGGCAACAGCGGCGTTGAAGTCCAGAGAGTGGTGTTCTGATAGGGTTGAGGAGTCTCAGACAGACAGCTGTCCTCCAACGGGGTACTTCCAGCAGTATATATATATATATATATATTATTGCAGGGGCGTGAAGAGTGAACTTGGATAGCTGGTTGATTGCAACATCGTTGATGGACGCTTTATTGCAACATCGTTGATGCGCTTTGGATTTGCACTGGTCCTCCTCCTCCTCCTCCTCATCCCCCCCCCGTCCTCTCTCATCCTCTTCTTCCGGCCCTGCCCTGGCCAGGTACTTCTGCGCGCCCCCCCCCTCCTGTCGCGAGGCCGCCGAGCCGCAATTGCCCCCGCGCATGCCGGAGCTGGAGGAGGTCCCTGTGACAGCGGATGTGCAGGCCCAGACGCCCCCAGTCCGGGCTTGTGGCGTTGCCATTTTCCGTGGTGTCGGCATTCCTTTTGCGATTTCGGCCTCCAGGGGTCCCCCCGGGACGTCAAGACTGGGCGAAAAAGCCGAATGCTTTTGGGGCCGCGCGTTGCCGAATATGTTCCCGAAAGGACGCCTAAACAGCGGTTGCTGGTTGCTGCACTCGATTTCCAGCGTCTGTGGTGCAGTCCGTCTATGTGGCATTTTCGATGTGCATTGTCTGAGATCAGTCCATGGGATGCGAGCTACGTGATGCAATGCATGGAGTGGAAAATGCGCGTATGGAAAACAAGTAGATCCTAGGGCCCCGCCCACCTCGGGAACATCGAGTGGTCGTTTTGCACCCCCCCAGGGGGCCTCCGAGAGGGCCCGAAAAGGGAAGCAAGACGGCGCAAGAAACCGCCAGAACGGACGAAGAATGCCCCGAGATGGGTAAATTGCGCTCGAAGACGGCCAAGATGGCGTCAAATAGGCCCAAGAGAACTCCAAAACGCTTCAAGAGGGCACCTAAGCGGCCCCCAAGACAAAATCATAGATTTGCTTGCGAGGTTTCTGACTGATTTTCCGGCTTCCGCCTTTTCGAGCTAACAACGGGGCTCAAGACTGTTCTGGGGACTTTCGAGCTCCTCCGGGCACGGCCCGAGCGGCTCCCGACAGGGCCCCAAGACAGCCCGTGGAGGGCCCAAGAGAGCCTCCCTGTCCTCCCTCCTTCTCCTCCCGCCCCTTCCCTGCAGCCCCGCCACGGAAAGCAGCCACAAAGCGGCGCGAACGGTCCCGGCACTGGGGCTCTAGACCCCCAGATTCTCTCCGCGGCAGCTCTCGAGCCGGATCGATGCTACGAGGGCCCCAGGACCCTGTTCGCGCACGGCGAGGACGCCGGCATGCGGTGATGGGTTACGCGCAGGCACGCGTACATTAACACCCTTGGGAGGGGGAGAGAGGGAAGGAGACCGCGACGGGAGAAGGACAAGGATGATGGGTTTTGTGGCAAGGCGGCCACGCGCCCACTCCTCAGCGCGAGCCCCTGCGGGGCTCGCGCTGGCACGGCGCGCAGCACGAGGCTGCGCGCCTTTCCGGCACGCTCGCTGGCCCATCGGCCACCATCAAAGCAAAACCAACAGCGCAGCCAAAAGAAGTGGCCGCTTGCCTGCAAAAGCGTGGCCTCCCGGGGCGAACGCTGGGCCGCTTCGGCGAGCTCGCCGACGCGTGGCAGCCGCCGTGCTGCCGTGTGCGAAGGCGGCGCTGCGCACCGAGTAAGAAGCAAGGCACGGAAAAGGCAAGAGGCCCAGGTTGGCGTCCGCGTGGCCGCCCATGACGCGGGCGCCCAGGACGCGGGCGCTCAGGAGGAGTCGTTGGGCTCCTCCTCGGGGCCCCGGGAGTCCAGTGCCAGCCATTTCCCGGCTCGCGGCCCCCAAGCTGGGGCCGCGTCCGGCGCCTGAGGGAGGCGAGTCCAGGGGCAGCCCGTTGCCCGGGTCACCGCCCCAGGAGGTGCGGGGGGCAGTGTCCGACGCCTGACAGACGCGGGACTAGGCGCACGGGGGAGAGGGGGTGGGGCGCTGCGTTGCACACGCAGAAGTGGCGTCAGAGGCGCAAAGAGCAAAATGCCCGAAGTGGACAAGTGCATGCCCCCTTCAGCGAATTGCGATGCCGCGCTCCACGCGGCCCAAGCCTCGGGACCCTGGCCAAGCTTGGGCTGGGAAGGGGGACATGGCCCCACACTACCCCAGCGCTCCTAGTGGCCTAACCCCTCGCCACGCCGGGGACGTTGGCAGCTCAGCGCCGCCCGTCTGCTGAGCTCCTCCCTCGCAGGTGCCGGGAGCTCTTGCCCTCCTTCGCCTTGCCGCTCCTCTGCTTGCCTTCGCCATCGCCCCCCTTGCTGCCCTTGGCAGCTGCCCTGCGGCTCGCCTGCACGCGCTTGCCACCGCGCGGTGCGTTGAACGACCCGTCGGGCTTCCTCTTGCAGCCCTTGGGTGTCGGCCGCTGGCGGGAGATGGAGCGGCTGCGCCTCCGCGGGGACCGCGCCACGCGGTCGTCCCGCTCGCGCGGGGACCAGATGCCGGGGGCCAGTCTGGGGCCACCGCTGGCTGCCCGTCCTCGCTGGCCTCCTGCTTCGCGCGCAGCGGCTTCTTGCTCTCCTCCTCGTCCTTCTCCTCGTCCTCCTCCTCCTCCTCCTCCTCCTCCTCCTCCTCCTGCGCCCCGCTCGAAGGGGCCGTCTGGGCCGATGTCGTCCACGGCCTCCTCCTCCTCCTCGCTGGCCTTGCTCTCCTCCTCGTCCTCTTCCTCGCCATCCTGGCTGGAGTCGCCCGGCTGGGCCCGCGCCGCCGCTTCCTCCGCCGTGAGCTTGCAGTAGTTGCACAGCGAGAGGTCGCAGCTCTTGCAGTACCACCGCAGCGTCCCGGCGTTCGCCTCGCGCCCTTTGCAGTCGGGCGGCCCCATGCTGGGTGCAGATCCAGTCCAGCCCCAGGCACCGGTATGTGCTCCAGCGCATCGGCTTCCCGCGCGACTCGCAGTCCGGGTACTCCGGCACCGTCTCCCCCTCACCGTCCGAGCTTGCACCCGCCGCGGGCGGTTCCGAAGCCCACTGCGCCACGACCTGCTAGTCGTCACTCTCGAAGAAGCGGCACCCCGTGCGCAGCGCTCCCAACGCGCGCTGCGCGTCCTCGTGGAGCTCGAGCTCGCGCTGCACCATGGGCTCCCTCTTCCACCGCGCATCGTAGACGAACGCCGCGTTGACCACCGCCCCGCAGGACGTGAACAACTCCCCGAGGCTGCCCATCCTGACCTTGCCCGGGACCCGGGGCGGCCTGATCGCTGGCTCCCCCGAGCTCGCGCTGGCACTCCTCCGACACTGGCTGCGGGCGCGGGACAGCGGCCTGGCTTCGCCCGTCGTGCCCGCGCGGCAGGCCGCCATCTCCTCCTCGGGGCGATCGCGCCTGGGTGCTCTCGCGCCTGGGCCTCCGGCGGGGGGGAACCTCCACGCCGCCACGGCTCCTCCTGTCCCCTGGCCCCCACCTGCGCGCCTCCCGTGGCGCGCGCCTCGGAGCCCGACGGCTGGCCTCGCGGGCCTCGCGCGGCGGGGCCACCTCGGGCGCCCTGCTGGCCGGGGCCCCCGCCCTCCTCCGCCGCGGCCAGCCCCTGTGGCCTCGCCCGCCCTCTGCTGGGCCGGCGCTGGGCTCGCCGTCCTCGGCAAGCGGAGTGGCGCCAGGGCCCAGGGCGTTCTGGGGACCCGCCTGCGCCACTGCCCGCGCCAACTTCGCGTCGACTGGGTTGCTCGCCTCCTCCTCCTCCTCCTCCTCCTCCTCCTCCTCCTCCTCTGCGCCCCGCTCGAAGGGGCCGTCTGGGCTGATGTCGTCCACGACCTCGGGGTTGAAGCTGGCCGCCAGCTCCCACAGGCCGGGGGTTGCGCTTCAACATGCGACGGCGGGAGCCCAGATCCGCGCCCGTGAACAGCCCTACGGCTAGCGCCAGCTTCGCCGACCTCCTCTGCTCCTTGCCGCTGCCCGCGAACCACGCCGCCCGTATCGCGCGGTTCCCGTCCACGAGGTAGCAGGCCCCAGTCCTCGGGCCCGCCGGCTGCCACACGGGCGAGCGGCTCGCCCCGCGCGCGGCGCCAGCTCGCGATCCGGGTCGCCCAGCTCCACCAGGTCGTCCTTGATGTCCATGTTCTCCCCGAGCAGCTCCTGCAGCAGAACATGCGCGTAGGGGAGCAGCTCGCGCGTCTCCCCGGCCACCACCAGTACCCCCACTGCGGCCACCTGCGCGATCATCTTGTCGTGGCTGCCCAGGCTGCCTCCTGCCGGAGCCACTGGCGTCACTGCCGCGATGGCGACCATCGCCGCGGCTCCGCCCGACTGGACTCGGCTCGCCTCGGGCCCGTCGCCCGTGTCCTCGCGAGCCCGACACGGCTGCGGCACGGCGTGCACTGGGGAAGCAGAGGATGAGGGCGACGGAGTTGGCGATAGCACCACCTGTATCCCTCCGCACCTGGACCCGACGCTCCACGACTTGTTGTCCGACTCCGGGTGTCTGCGGGGCCGACACGACTGAGGACGACCACGTGCTGCCCGCTCTCCCCCGTAGCTGACGATGACGACGGGATACTTTGCGACTCGATCGGGCACGACAACGACGCTACTACGTGCGACTCGCCGTCGATGCACATGCCACAACGCCGGCCTGGCCTTGCCCAAGGCGGACGGCCGGGTGCCAACGACGACCGGGCGGACGGGTACGGGAAGTCGTCGTCCTCCCTACGCTCCGCCTCCCCACGCTCCACGCTGCGTTCGCCGAGGTCGGCTACGCCCCTCGCGTCGGGTGCCAGGAGAGCGCGGCCTTGAGCCACGCCCTCTGCGAAGGACTGCTGTCTCCGTTGGTCCCCCCACAGATAGCCGTGGAAGGCACCCGTCGCCCAGCGACCGAAGCGCTCGACCGCTTCCAAGTCGCGGGCGGGCGCGGCAGAGGGCCGTCGCTTCCCCCACGCGGAGGGAGCGCGACCCCAGTTTGGCCCCATTCTGCCCCGCGCGCCGGCGTGGCCAGCCGCAGTGGCCCCTGCACCTCGCCTCGCGTCACTGCACGGCCACTCGCGTGCCGAAAAAAGGGGAGGCCCGGTTCGAGGCCGCGCTCAAACCGTTGAGGGTACTCACGGCGCAGCTCAGCCAGCGCGCTCAGCACGCACAGCGGGCGCTCCGAGCGGAAGTGGTTGCGGTGACATCCCGCGTCGCATTGGTCCGTCTTGGTGGACGTGATCGTCAGTGCGATCTCGTCGCCGCTGCCCGGCCACCCCTCCAGGGATCCGTTCCGTAGGCCCTGGATGTCGATGCCATGTGCGACGCGGCCCAGGCTCCAGGACTTGTCGGGCTGCACCAAGTATTCCGACGCTCTCAGCATGAATAAGTATCCGGTCACCAGGGCCCCCCACCAGAGAACCACAGTCTCGGCTCGAGGCTCGGCCCCAGGGCTGAAGAAGTATTC